ATATATATATATATATATATATATATATAAAATATATGCAAAATACTATTATATTAAATAATTAGTATCTTTGGTTTAGATACAATATGAATTTAATAATAACTTTTTTTTACACAAAAGTAACATAATATAAAATTACAAATTATGATAATATGATTTATGAATTACAATTTTATAACGGAGAAGCAAGAACAGTGCAAACATGTATATATTCTATTCTTTCATATTTTTTCACGAGTAAATTAAGACAAATACCGGATTTGTAATATCCTTTGAAAATATAAAAATTCGATGTTTAATTACGGTTATTCGTTAGCAAGTTAGCAAGAATTAAAAAGATGTCTAATTATGATTGTCAATAGTTTTATAGATAAAATTATTATTAATAATCCAAAAGAATAATCATTATTTTAATCATCTCAAGGTATTCAGTATTCGGTGTCTTAATCGATTGTAAAACTTTTATATATATAGATATATAATATATATATTACATATATATTACTTATATATAAGTAATATATATATGTTATATATATTACTTATATATATATTTATATATTATAATATATATATGTAATATATATATATATATATAAGTAAAAGGAGATTATACCATGCAAAAGAAGTGTACGATATGGACTTGCATGATGCATATCTAGTGATAGTTTATCCTAAGTACGTCTAATACATTATCAGGGTAACATTTGTGGATCGTATATCAATGTGACATAGTCAAATGTGAACAATGATTTTAAAATTCTACAAACTGCTATAGTATGAGAATAAATATAATTTTAAGGAAAAAGATTAAGTGGAAAGATAAATTAATAGAAATCGTTAAATGGATGTGATAGGTTTCAATTCGTTGGATACTTAAATAAATTTGTTTATTTCTGTTAATGAAAAAAATTTTTCTTCATTTTCAATGATATCTATGAATATTTAATAGAATGTTGTAGATTTTTAACAATTTCATTGATATTTCCAATTTCAAGAGATCACTGATAGTGTTTTGAAAGGACCTTCCCTTTTTAAGATTTAAGTCATCGAGCAAATATGATTTAAATCGCTTAAGTAATAAACACCGGAAAAACAATTAGTTGCGAAGCATTGTGTTCAAGTTTGTTTACATGAGATATGATTACGAGACAATTAAATGTCATTATCATAATCATAGAATTATGTACGTGTATCAATTTTGCTTTCACTCGAACAGTTTTAACGATTTGAGGAAAACAAATGCATGAAACTGCAATGAAAAGCCAAAGTGAAATATTCGCTAAGTAAGAAATTTTTTTAACAATAGGAAGATATAATCGAGGAACGCAAAGAATACGGGAGGGTTGAAAATAAAATGCAGCGTTGATATTTCCAAGCTTTCATTTTTATAATACTCCGAGTCGATTGATTTTCTTCGTCAGAAAAATGAACGTATCTATGAAAAGAAGGAAAAAAATATTACTATTAAAAAAATATCACTAAAGAATATTACTACAAATATTACTATTGGTTGTATCCTCCTTTCGGTGTAAGAAAGAATTATGTTTCCCAGAAACCTCTGCTGTTAGTTGTTTTTTCGCGTTACTGTCTCCTATCTAATAAATTCACCTTCTAAAGCGGAAAGCATTGCCAAACCATAAATGCCTTCCGTCGTCGTGCTTTACGGGTTTTCGCCGAGCAAAGGAAATCAATATACGATTTGTCGATAAACCAAAATAAATGTGATCTGCTTGACTCTTGCAATATATTGCTTATTTTTTGGTATTTTCATCAGTGTGCATCGGCGATTCCGATATGGATTTTACAATCCGAGAATTTCTCTTCGAGTTTCACGCTTCAGGTGAAATAAAAGCAGCGTTCAAAACGAGTGCAACAAACGGTTGGAAAATGCACGCGTGAAAGAGGTTAGTTTTAATGGTAAGTAAGAGTGCAGGTCGAGATTCAACGCGCTGTGTATATATCGATAGCAGTATCGAAACGAATTCCTTTGCGTCATGCGTATCGGTTTATCTACCTTTAAAAACAACTGTGTCACCTATATAAGCTGTTCATTGGTGAAGATGAGAATTCAGTATCAACCGATGCTGCCTATTATAATAAAATGTTACAACATTGTAATTTAAAATATTATATAATTATGCAAGTACGTTGCTTAATCGTGATTCTTCGTGTAAAATCAAGTACTATTGAGTTTCTAACGAAAGAAAAAAGTTCAAAAAGTGTTATTCTTTCTTTTTGTTTTAAATTTAGATACATCGAGTATAAGTTAAAAATATGATGTATTTAGTAAATCATATTTAGAATGCTAGAATATATATATAGTAGATATAATGCATTTTGTCATGCTCTCGAGTTATTATATTTTTATACTGTAGCAATATTTAACGACAAAATCAAACTTATATTTTTCTGATTTGTTAACTTTACCGACCGATAGATTACCGGTCGATAAAGTGTTAAATTACCTATCGATTCCGAGAATCTTGAGAGACCGAGAAATATAAAAAGAGATTACGTGTTAATCATTATACGATAACGATGAATGATCACTGGATTTATGAAAAAATATCAGATTTCTCTAAGAGGAGATCTAAAAATTACGCAACTGCACAATGCGACATACGATAGTGTTGTAACACAACGTTTGAGAGCCTTCCATTTAGGCGGAAAACTATACGTTATAGGCGAGCACTTTCTACATAGATAAGCAGCTTCACGTTACTCCGACAGAAAACTAGTGGCAGACTTGAGAACAGGGTCAAATTCGATACAAGTTTATGGCGAATTCTGGGCTTTTTTATGATATTCCTGTTCATCTATTTATCGGTAGAGTGGCCCATACGCATAGAGGTGGGGATAGCTCAGTCGGTAGATCATCAGACTCTTAATCTGAGGGCCCAGAGTTTCGAGTCCCTGTTCAGGCGAAAAAAAAAGATGTCCTTTAGGACAAACAGCACGGGAGAGCTCTGTATGTTGTATAAAAAAGTCCCGGAGCTCTTCCAACGTGCGGAGGACGACGGCCATTGTGGTGGTATGGAGGTTTCAGTCGGTAAGAATCCGACATTACCTGGGTCTTCCCTTAAAAGAAAAAAAAAGAGTGGCACCCATACGTTGTGAAACAATCTGTATTACATTAAATTTAATATTTACAGTTCTTTTAATTATTTCTGTATAAAGTTGTAAGATTCGAAATATTGGTTACTTACTTGATAATATTATTGAAGACGAACGTTCTCTTTTCTTTTGTACCAGTACCAGTGAATGAAGCTGCAATAAGTAAAGAGAGCTTTCTTATCTCATATTTTTGCTGAAAGTGATATATCAGTGGGAAACACGTCTTTTTTTTCTTCCTTACGAAATATGTTCCTTACGAAATTATTCTTTAGAATAGAATTTAGGGCGACAGTGAGTAATGCGAAAGTAGAAGTCGTCGTTTGTAAAGCCATTGAAACTTCGTTTGTTTAGCCCTGCTGCGTCCTTCTCGGCCATTCTGAAAAATCTTTTGAAACATTGAACCTGAAACAGTTCCCAGCGGTGTGAAATGAAAATATGTTTCGAAGAAATGAGGGTAAGATCGAAATGTCGAAATGCCAAGAAGTTAATATTCAAATAAACGATTATTTTGCGTAACATATGTGAAATATATATTTTCATATTATAACAAAAGATATATAATAAAATATATTTATATAAAGTATGATAAAAATTTTGTATAAAAATAGCGAGAAAATGACTGTTCAACTTCGGCCAATGGAATTTTGCGAGAGGACGTGTTGTAGATCTCCTCTCGACGAGAAAAATTTTTGGCTCTTGACGGGGGAAAAAACCGATTTCTAAACGAAGGCAACGTAACGCGGCGCTGGAATAAAAGAATCTTCGAGCTAAAGCTATGTACACACACACGTTCCGGTAAATCTGCACAGAGACACGGCTGTGCAAACGTATCTCTGCGGTCTTTAGGATGGTGCAT